AAAAAAAAAAAAAAAAAAGAAGGATCAAGAAAGACTTTTAATTTACCTGGCTCCAAGCTGAAGCATCTTTGGCCTTATAATGAATGTTGTATTTGAGGCTTATAACATTCGTAATTCTTGGGTTGATCCATGTTAATTTTAAGATACTAGACAGCTCTTCTGAGTTACTCACTGATAAATTATAAGGTGGATTGGGCTTCACTGAAGAATAAAATAAACACTAATGTTGATCATCCTTTACAACTTTATAAACAAAGTCAAATATATACTCTTTATTTTTCAGTACTGTATTTATTTATTCTTACCAAATTAATTTCTTTGGAAACAATGATGTTATTATGGAAAGATTTCTAAAGAAACTTAGTTTTCCTTGTCAATTTAATATATTTGTTATATTTTTTCTGGTTCAGATATTAAAAGACAAAGATAAATCAAATTTTTAAAAAGAGAATAAAAATGGAATAAGTATACTATAATTGCAAAGGTATAAAATGTCTGAGAATTGGACAAATACCACAAGGTAATATTCAAAGTGAAAACAGCTTAGAGTGTGGTTATATTATAGCTATTTTTCCAAGTTATATTAAATATTGTTGATTAAATGATGGCAAAAATCACTAAGCTAATTAAATAAATGTTTTTTTCTACATTAAAATCTGAAACAATTTATAAGCCACTGTAATAAACTCTTTAAATTCAGGAGTTCAGATACCTCTATCTATAGGATCAAAGTTGATATGATTGGATACAGCCTTCCCAAGGGCATTCTGTGCTTCTACCCAGACTTCCACGTTGACAAAATACACGGGAGAATAGGCAACAGTGCATGAGGTGGGAGTGTCAGGTTTTGCTTTACAATCAGGAAACTTCTCTGTTGCCCTAAATACAAAAATGGAGAAGTAATTAAAACTAGATTTGAAAAAGTTATTTGAAAAGAATTTGATGAGACTAAGGTTTTTGCAGCAAAGTTTGCTATAAATTAACCACTAAACATAAACATTTTTAAAATTAACCTTTCTTTAAAATTGAGTGTGGGCTATATCTTAAAATTATTTTAACAATTTTAATCTTAAAAATGCTGTACTTCAGAATGTCATGCTGAAGCCCACTGATCTATTTCCTTGTGATCCTACTATAGTAGTCCCCACCTATCCACATAGAAATGTTCCAAGATTCCCAGTAGAACACCCGATACCTCAGTTAGTATCAAACTCTCTTATGCTTTTTCCTATATATGCATACCTATGATAAAATTGAATGTGTAAGTTAGGTACAGTTATGAGATTAACAACAATAAAAACAATAATCCTAACAACATGCTGTAATAAAAAGTTATGTGAATGTAATTTCTCTCAAAATATCTTGTACTGTACTCACCTTTTTCCTTGCGAGGGTGTGAGATGATACAGTATCTATGTAAGGAGATGAAGTGAGGTGAATGACACAGGCACAGTGAGACATCATGCTGATGCTACTGACCTCCCAAAGATTAATTCAGAAGGAGAAGTATCTGTTTCATCATGGATCACCAGGCCATGATAATGTCAGGAGTAGATGAGACTCGTGGGTGGGGATCTTTGATCTTGACTTTTTTGGGAAGAACATCAGCCTAAGAAGTTGTTGTCTCTGTTTTAGTCACCAAAGTGTTGCTAAAGAGGTTGTTAATTCTTTGGTGATCACAAAGGTGAACATAAAGGAATATATTCCACCTGAGGCATATATTCATAAATTTGTTAATGTCTGTGCAGGTCAAAACACTAGAATATCTCTACAAAGTTTACATTGATGGTTGTTTTAGTTTCTTCTTTACCTTCTTTCTCTATATGATTCAACAAGTTCTTCCAATTACTCATTTGTTAGTATTTCTCAACACCCTTCAGTATGTTGTTCGACTTCTTCATCAAGCATGTTGGCAAATCTTTCACCATATTATCTTGCAGCATGAATGATTTTACAACTTCCATGGGAAATCTTTAACAGCATTCACATCTTTACTCCATAAATTCTGCCAGCAGGTATTTAGTTTCTGGTTTTAATTCACCCACTGCAGTTCTGATGAACGTGACTGCATTACCAATCGTAAATGATTTCCAACAGTGCTTTGCATGCAATTTAAAGTCTTCATCAATTGCTAATTAGATGCAATCAAATGCCAGGTGGGCATATATGGGACTTGACAAACCAAATGATTCTCTGGTCTAGGGCTAAAGCAGTAAAATTATATTTTGAGGCAAAAATACCACTTTCTCAGTTTCTTTTTTTTTTTTGGTACAGATTCAAAAAGGGTAGATGCACTATTTATCATTAATAGGACTTTAAATTCCAACCCTTCCTCTTCCAAAGATTTTTTTTTTCAACTTCTGGGACAAAGAACTGAGGGAACCACTCCATAAACAATATGACTGTCACCCACACTTCCTGATTATGCTGCCAGAGGGCAGATAATTTTTGTTTTTGATGAGAACATAGAGGTTCCTCACTCATATACTACAGTAGGCTTTATCATATGCCCTGAAGAGTGGTCACACAGTACAGAGTCAATATGTCCTTCTATGTTTTATGCCTTGGTGCCTCCTTTGTACCTTAATGAATGTAAGTTCTAATGGGCACCTTCTTCCAGATGGTATCCCTTTTCCTTGGTCAACTTCAACTTTGCTGGAAATGTGGCAGCAGCATCCTCATAGGCAGACAGTCACATCTAATCCTGAATCTGCACAAGCATCCCTTACTTATAGTAAATGACTTGATTTCACTTGCTGAAGTTTGTTTACGGAGCAACATGTTGCCATCACTCAGAACATGCTTTTTGTTCATATCATCCATTCATGAATTTAATGCCATTTCCATATTAACCAAGCTTTCATTATGCATTGTGGCTATAAATTTTGTGGTTTGAAGGGTGAAAGCAAAACTAACAAAAATTTCTTTAACAAATTTACAGACAAAAATTTGTTCTTTACTGTGGATTGTAGCAGCCCCGAGCACATTTTTTCTTTCCTTCTTAGAGAACTTTTACCTTTTCATTTAAAGGAAACACAATACAACTTCTTTTTGGCATATCCAAACTGATAGCATCACTACTCTCAGGCTTTGGAGGCATTATTAAGTACATTAAATGTCACTTAACACAAACACTGTGATATCACCAAAGACAATCTGATAACTACAATGGCAACCAAGTGAGTGACAGGCAACACATAGAGCAAGGATATGCCAGACAGAGGGGTGAATCAAATCCTGGTCAGAATGGAGGGGAGAAGTCTGAGATTTGCATCAAGCTCCTCAGAACTGTATGAAATTTAAAACTTAGAAATTGTTTATTTTGGGGATTCTCCATTTGACAACTGAACCCATCGATAAGGGGAAACTTCGTACAGTTTTTCTCTTTTCCTGAAATTGACTTCTTAATGTCCCAGCAATGTCCTTCTTTAAAACCCTTTGTGTATAAGGTTAAGCTTCCTTACAAGGAGTGTAGGGTGGATGAAGCTTAACCTTATGTATGAGTGTAATATGCTAGAAGATGAGAGTGGATTAAGCCAAAAAGTTTCCTCAGACTCTTTCTAAGTCCAGCTCAGGCATCTCTTCTCAAAAGTACATACAACTTGGGCCGGGGAATTACCTTGGTGGTGCTGCAGCCTACCTTGCCTGAGTTCGATCCCTGGTACCACAAAAAAAAAAAAAAAAAAAAAAAAAAAAAAAAAGTGCACGACTTGTATGAAAAATATTTTTGATAAAAAAAAAAATCAAACCCAAACTGGATAATGTATAAAAGTCATATTAAAAACTGAATTCCAGGGCTGGGGATTTAGCTCAGTGGCACCGTGCCTGCCTCACAAGCACAAAGTCCTAAGTTTGATCTCTGATACTGCAAACAAACAAACAAACAAACAAAAAACTGAATTCCAGCAGAGTGGAAAAAAAAAAAAAAAAAAAAAAGGAAGAAAGGAGAAGAAAAAAAAAAAAAAAAAAAACCAGCAGCAGCAGGCAGAAGTTAGAATTTAAGAAAGATATACAAGGTGCACCTGGTGTTGCATGCCTGTAATCCCAGCACTGGGGAGGCTGAGGTGAGTTCAAGTCTAGTTTGAACTACATAGTGAGACCCTGTCTCAAACCAAACCAAACTAAACCAAACAAATAAACAAAACAGAGAGAGACTTACAAGAAATATAAATGTGCAATGTATGGAGTTTCTTGGATCTCAATTCAAACTGGGAAAATTAATACTTTACTGACTCAAAATCTGGTATTAAAATATTTAAATTATTTACCTTTAACAATGACATAGGTTATAATATTTTAAAGTCCTTATCTTTTAGAGATTTGTACTGAAATATTTATGAATGGAGTATGTATAAACTTTTCCTCAAGATAAAATGTGGGGGAGTACACACAAAGAAGATTGGTCATGAGTTGATTGCTATTGAAGGTGAATGATAAGGTTTTATTATAGAACTCTTTCTACTTTCACATATATATTTGAGATGTTCCAAAATTAAATTTTAAAATGTTTAGAAATTTACATTCAATATTATCGTTTGGCAAAGTAAAGGTTCTGGCAAAACTGTCTTAACAGATGCAACACAAAAGAAACATAAAAATAACTTACCACTCAGATTTTAAAGTGAAATTTGTTTCCAACTGTGTTTCCCTTCCAGGATCCCACTGACACTTCATTTTCTTCCCTTCATTCACAATGCAATTCAAATTTTTAGGTTTTTCTGGCGGAACTAAAAGGAAAATAATTTGCTATTTTCAAAAACCTTTATATTCACAAATATTATCCAGTTTATATACCACCTAAAACATCTAAATGAGATAGAAAAAACAAACCTGAAACAAAACTATATCTAATGAAAGACTGTGACTAAAAAGTTAACTTCTATTCAAACTCCTAAACTTCTTTTCAGGTAGTAATATATATCTTCTGTCATAATTGTTATTACTAGTTTGTTTCACGTTAAATTTGTACGTAAAAGTCAACTTTCATTTATAACTAGATAAAAACATCAACAATTTCTCCATTAGTTATATTTTTAAAACCTATGTTAAGGGGATTTAGCTCAGTGGTTCCATCATCTGCCTCACAAGCACAAGGTTCTGAGTTCAATCAAAGCACCAAAAACCAAAAACCAAAAACAAAACCTATATTAGTAAGAGGCAATTAAATAGATTCAAAAATGATTCATTTATATGCTGCTTTTTTTTTGGAGGCAGGGTCTCACTGTATAGTTCAGGTTGGACCTGAACTCACTATGTAGCTCAGGCTGGCCTGGAACTTGTGGCAATCCTCCTGCCTCAGCCTCTTGAGTGCTGGGATTATAAGTCCAAACTCTTCTGGAAGAAAAGCTAATGCTGAAATCATGAAGTTTGGGTGATGCACAAATCTGACAATCCACATTAGGACTATACTTATTATATTCTTCATTATGACCTTTCAGAAGGACTTTCTTTAGTATTTATTAATCTTTTCCAGGTAGCTACTTTGTGTGTATTTTCTCTATATTTGCGGGGCTCAGGTCAAAACACTTTTCTAGAAAACTAACAATTGCTTGACTTTCAGGAAAGAGATAAAAATTGTGTTAATCTTTAGGAATTTCTTCACATTAGTAATGTAAGTATAGGTCCTACCTCTAAGTTTATGTTTTTAAAAATATGTCTAAAATTCACTGAGCCCATGGATTACTGCATTTCATAAAGGCTATCTATCAGACAGCTTAGAAATGTACATCAACAGTCATGACAAACCCTGAAATAAGATAAAAACAAAACTTACAGCCTACTCGCATTCTGACTCCATAGATATTCATCTCAATCTGTCCGAATGCAAGAATGTTGCATATAAGCTGAACATTTGATAAACTTATATTTGTCAAGGTGACACTGGATGTTGTGGCATTTATGACGGTATACTGTTCCTCAGGAATAAGAACACGGTTTGCTTTCCAGACAATGTGAGAAGCATTTACTTCATAAGTACTCATACATTTTTCCTTTAACACACACAATGCAGTGAAATTAGAACCACTTAGGATAACTGGAGATTCAGGGTTGATAACACCGCATGTTTCCACAAGATCACCTGCAAAGGAACAACATTTTTGAAAATATGAAGAGACTGAGGTAGGTATGTACTATAACTCACCAGTAGACTGTTTCCCTAGCACATGGTGAGTCCCTGAGTTTGAACCCTGGCATCCCCACTCACAACAAAAGGTCTTTCTGGTACTATTATCATTATTATTTTGGAGATAGGATCTCACTATGTAGTTTGGGCTGGGCTTGAACTTATTATGTAGCCCAGGCTGGCCTCAAACTCAAGTGATCATCCTGAATCAGTCTCCTTAGTGCTGAGATTACAGGAGTGTGCCACTACATCCAGTTTCTTTTGTCTGATTTTGGTATGAAGGTAATGTTGGCCTTACCCCAGAGATATTTTAAAGTAAATACTCTAAAACTATATTCACTGCAGTCTCTTTCAAACATATTATTTTTTATTCTTCTCTACTAACAGCATCACTCCCATCCAGTTATCCAGATCAGATACCTTGAAGTCACCTTCAGTCTCTCTAGTTAGCTTCTTCTAACCTCAAAGCTAACCATAATGCCCTAACTCGAGCCCTATACATCACATTTCCACAATTAAAACACGAAAGTTTATGACTTCTTCCTCTACCATTCCTACTTCTCCTCACCGCCTCTAAAGTTGAAAATGGGGGTGGCACAAGATGAATAGTATGTCCCACACTAGCTATAAACTCAGTACATGCTGGTGCCTCATTAGAACCAACAATTTTTTCACTAAATTTTGCAGAAGTATCATCCATTTCAAGTTCTATATTTTTAGCATGTTTATCAACCTTTTGTCATTAACACTGCTTGGAATGCTAAAGCTTAGGCCATCATATTTTCTTAGCTGGACCTCCAGTTCACCCTACTACACAACTGTTACCACAGTTATGGTTCTAAAATGATAGTCATTTACTATTTACTAGCTATATATTACTATCAAGATATAAGTCCCAAATATTTGGCATGACTTTATTCTCTTTCTCTAGCCTCAGTGTCCACAAACTTAAGCTAGATTTCCCCAATCAATGCCACTGGTCAATGGGTGCTTGAGTTGTTATCCACTCTATATGGGTTTCAGTTTTCTCACATGGAAAATAAAGTTCATAATGGCTATCCTGAAGGTTTTTTAAGAATAAAAGTTAGTTGTGTAAAACACATAGCACAATGCCTAGTACTCAGTAGGCCTCCAATAAAGGATACTCACACTGATAGGGTCCAGAAGGTTTTATTAGAAGTGTAATATCTTATATCTAGAAGTCCCCTAAGGCCTCATATACTTATAGATGGGGCTTTTGGGAAGTGAATGGATCATGGCTGTGTGATACTGGATTAGTCCACTGATTAGTTTAAAGTAGTTCTGGGTGTCTATGATGGACTTACTGAAGAAAGAAGACCCACCCTGGGTAGAGTTGTCATGCTTGTAGCCTCCACAGAATAAAAAGGGATAGAAAGAAGGAAGACTCACTGCTTTCTGCCTGCCCTGTCATGGACTGTTTCTTCTGTGCCATGTCTTCTACCACACTGCCCTGCCTTGAAACTCAACTATGGATTAAAACTTCTACAAACTGTGAACTAAAATAAACTTTTCTGCCTTTAACTTGAAGGTACTGGGTATTTTGTCCCAGCAGTGAGAAAAGTAACAAAGACAACAGGGGACTGGCTCTAGCAATTAATGATAAAAGGCATCATGGATTGTAGAACTAAAAAAACCTGGGAAGTCATTTACTTCAACTTTTTATATTACAGATAAGCCAGGTGTGGTGGCACAGCACTGGGAGACTGAGGCAGGAAGATTGCTAGGAGTCAAGGCCAACCTGGGTTACATAGTGAGTTCAAGGCCAGCCTGAATTACAGAGCTGTCTCAAAAAAAAAAAATAAATAAAAAATTTACAGATAAAGTTCAGTAACATGAGAGTCAACTTCAATTATCAGCTAAATTGAATTCCCAAGTTGGCCTCAAGCTAGACAGCAAAAAGAATAAAACTACCTTGAAAAGTTAAACAGTCACTGTATTTTCCTAGTCCATATCTTTCAAAGTTAGCCAGAGGAATTAAAAGTCCTTGAGGTCTTGAGGTTAACATTGTATAGTACTGGGACTTGTCATATGCCCAATTAGGATCAGAGTTGGAATGTGTATTCCTTTGTTTTAAAATGTAAAATGTGGCTGGAGCCAGGGATTTAGCTCAGTTGTGCCACAACTGCCTCACAAGCATAAGGTCCTGAGTTGGATCCCTGGTACCAAAAAAAAAAAAAAAAAAAAAAAAAA